GCAGTAATATATAGTATATTTTAAATATATACAGTATTGGACAAAACATTTGCAACCAACATCGAACAATGTTAAAAAGTGTTCCTAATTTTACATATCTTAAAAATGAAACGAACTATACTACCCAAGCAAGCAGTTTAGGAGTCTGGAGTCATAGCATGCCATGACATGAGCAATCAGCTGACAGGTGACAGTACACAGGCAGAATTTCGTTGACAAGTGCCATTTTGCAGCAGACAAAACAAGTGCAACTTTTTTGGTTTGTTTCATTTTCTTAAGTCTGGTCCGTATCAACGTCACGGAAATTTTTTAATAATTAAAGAAAGTATCCAGAAGTTTCCAGAAGAAGCATCTGGAAGCATCCAGAAGTATTCAGAAGTATCCAAAAAAATTCAGAAGCATCCAGACGCATCCAGAAGCTTCCAAACGCTTTTGGATGCGTCAAATAAACTTTGATAAAAGTCTTTTATCTTCGATAAAACACTTTTATCAAAGTGTTTTATCGCAGAACATCAATACAAGAAGTGAAATAAAACAAATGTTTCATTACATCAATACAGTCCACATCCAACCAAGACGTTGTCTTCCACAGAGCATTATTATATCATCACAAGGTAAATATAACACGGTAAGCTCTGAGTGTGATTATTTATTTATTACTTTTATGACTTCAAGTGCAAAAATGTCTTGGATTGGAACTAATAAAGAAAATTATTGGCAATTACGTAAGTGGAATGTCACAAAAAAGTATTTGTGATAAATATTGCGTAAAAAAATGGACCGTATTAAGACTATGTTCCAAATATCGATCTACGGGGAAATTGGCAGCAGATAACAAAGGTAGAAGACCGCGTTGCACCACTTCTAGAGAGGATTCTATGATCGTCAGATCCGTCAAGAAAGATTCCTGGATATCATCAGTCGACATAAAAAAGCAATTAGAGCTGCCTGTATCGGACCGAACAATCAGACGACATGCTGTTGAAGCCGGATTGTTTTCTCGACGCCCTGCAAAGAAACCGCTAATTTCACAAAGAACCAGAAGAAAAGACTCCTGTTTACTTCATCTCATATTGACTGGAATGTGCAGAAATGGCGAACTGTCCTGTTCAGTGATGAATCAAAGTTCAACATCATTGGGAGCGATAGCATTTGCCGTGTACGTCGACCGGCCGGAAAACGCCTCAATTTACTTTACTGCCATAAGACCGTGAAGCATGGTGGAGGCAATGTAATGGTCTGGGGGTATTTTTCTGCTAACGGTCTAGGTCCAATACATCGAATTGATGGAATAATGGACCGTGTTATGTATAAAAATATCCTGAAAGATGTTATGCTACCTTATGCTGAATGGAATATGCCAATAAAATGGGTTTTTCAGCAAGACAACGACCCAAAACACACTGAAAAAGTAGTCAAGCATTGGTTTCAAAACAACCACTTATTGGTGATGGATTGGCCGCCTCAATTTCCGGATCTCAACCCTATCGAGAACCTGTTGGAGATCGTCAACCGCAGAATTAATCGTGAAGGTGTTCGTAATAAGGAGCAACTGTTTGAACAAATCCAAAAGGCCTGAGCAGCGATTCCACAAAGTTTCATTGATCACCTGATCGAATCTATGCCTTGAAGATGCAAGGCTGTGATCGACAACAAAGGATTCGCCACAAAATATTGATAGCGAAATACAGCTTGGTCAACATTTTGTGGAGTTGCACTTGTTTTGTCCAAAAGGAAATCAACTTTTTTTAATACTTTTGATTAATTTATTAATTTTCGTGTACAAATAATGAACTTTGTGATGAATAAAACTTGAAGAACGTTGTCTCTAAACAGTTACATAGTTATTTTGCTAAATTGAAAAAATGTTATATAAAGAAACTAAATTAGCATTATTTGGTTGCACTTGTTTTTTCCAATTCTTTATATATTTTTTTTTACACAGTTTATATATATATATATATATATTTATATATATATATATATTATATATATATATATATATATATATATATATATATATATATATATATATATATATATATATATATATATATATATATATATATATATATATATATATATATATATATTAACTTTGTAAATAAAAGAAAATACAATGTGCTATATTGTAGTTATATTTTAAACTAAAATTTGAAAAGTATCTTCAGGAACTATATTTTCTGAAATTTTCACTTTCTTAACCTGAATTTTGTGTGTTATATATATTGTTTATGCATCTTACATATTTCCTTTATATATCATCTAAAAATGAATGTTTTACTGAACAATAGTTAAGCTGAAAATTGACGATTTTTAAAGTTACTTTGTTATTTAACAGACGGATGAATAGGTTTATTTTATTTTGTTGTATGTACGTTGACATCTTTCAAATTTTAAATAGAGAGTTGACATAAATTTTGCTATATTTGGATACATTAAAAAAAGACTTGACTGCATTTCTTCCAAATTTATCAAGGCTTTGCATTGTTAACTCTTTTCACAGAGTTCCAGACCACGCGTTAGCGTTGAAACTGCTGAAAATCGAATAATTGGATAATTGAAGATGGGCGTGCGAATCGGATACCAGATTGAATCAGAGTTTGCACTGTTGTTTGAAAATTTGATACTCTATAGTTAATATTTGATCTATATAATGAGGCAACATTGGATTTTTCTGTATCCCACATGAAGCCCAGATGATTAAGCTTTTCATTTGGTATTATTTGATGTTCGTCAGGGTTTTCTTGCAATTTGTTACTTGTCGTTTTTCGGAGTGCAAAAGTTCTGTTTTGACAGTATTGAGTTTTATGACGTTTAAGTTATTGTAAACATTATACGTCTAAGTTACTGTAAACATTATTTTTACAAGCTTTCAGAGGAAGTAGAGCTAAGCAGAATGATGTCATCAGTATAAGCAACAACAAGTTTCCATATATACAAGGTCGACAAAGTTATCATTTTTTATAGTTTCAAGCAATTTTTGGGTGTATATATGTTACACAAGTGGGGCGACAAAATTGATTCTTGCACCACACCTTGCTTGAGAGCTAATGAAGTTAAATTTGAGCCAAGGTAGGAAACAGTTGCACTACTGTTATGATATAAAGAAGATACAATTTTAACTATTTGGAGAGGTAGGTTTTTATCAAAGTAAAGTTTATCAAAGAGAAGAATCCTGTTGCAACTGTCAAAATCTTTTTCAGCACCTAACGAACATAAGTAAATAGAAAAATTGTTGTTGGAAATACGGAAACGCAGAAATACAAACTTTTTTATGCAGAAATATAAAGTAAATAAGGAAATTAAAATAAGAAAATAAAAGTAAGAAAATATGGAATTAAAATAAGAAACTAAATAAATAAAATAAGACTTAAACGCAAATGACATATGAAAATATTTATATTAGGAAATTTTTATTTTTCCGCATAAATTTGTTTATATTTCCGCATAATTTAATCTATATTTCCGCATAACCTTGTAATAGGGGAAGGTTGCGTAAGATAAGCAGGTTCCTAAGATGGTATAACCTTTTTTACGGGTAGACTAATGTTTTTTGGTTAAGGATATTCATACAAGTTCGACGGTGTTATTTATTTTATTTTCTTGGTTGTATAGATATTATTCTTTGATTGTTTTACTGTTAAAAAAATTTACCATCCCCGTTATAATTTTTTATTTTTCAATATTTTGTAATTACGTCAGAACGTAATTACAAAATATTGAAAATTTTTTTTTTTTATGGTTGAGATAATTTCTTTTCACTTAGTCCTTGAAGATACAATTTTGATTAAATATTTTTTGTTAATATTTTTTTATTATTTTAATTTTTTTTGAGTTCCATTAATAAAGGTTCATCTAAGGAAAGGAAAAAGGAAAAAGAAAAGGAAAGGAAAAAAAAGACTCCAATGTAACTTACAGTGGAAGTAAAATCTGTCAACAACAATTGAACTTGCAATTTAAGTAAGATCTAGCAATTTTTATTCTATATTAAATAATAATTCAATGTAATTAAACTAATTTTAAAAATTAAGTATTATATTTAAAAATAACTTTTACAATACTTTTATAAAAAATATATAAAATACAGTACGTGCGATTTTTATAAAACGAATCGCGCAATAAACAATTTAATTACAAAAAAAACAACACTAAGTTGCAGTTTCGTTCTTTTGTAGAGAGTAAAAGAATTTCTAAAATTTTTTTAAAATTTGAACAGCAATTATTGTTTTATATATGAAATAACTTTTAAATTTGTGACATAAAATTCTTTATTTTTTTTCTGTTAAAAAAACTAAAAACCATGTATTAAATTGTTTTATTTTTTATTTTAACAGAAAAACTAAAGATAATTGGATAATTTTGCGCCCTATTAAATCTTTGCGTCCGGGGCATTTTCCCCTTTGGCCCATACCTCGCTACACTACTGTCCTCCACTACAATCACCAATCAAATCCTTCTCCTCGACCACAATCACCTATCAAATATGAATTTTATAATCTTTCTTTTCTACTACAATCACCAATCAAATATGAATTTTATAATCTTTCTTTTCGACTGCAATCACCAATCAAATGTCAGAAGATTTAGAGAACGAATTAAAACCATTAAATTAATTTAACTTTTTATAAAATAAATTTTGTTTTAGATAAAAAAATTTAATTATTTGTTATTGCATGAGAAAAAGCTTGGTCTCAGCTCCAAGATTTCCGAGAGGCTGTGCATAAGTAACTTTGATAGAGTCGTTCAGCTTTAAAAAATATTTTTAACTGTACAGATTTCAGCTTCAATTTCAAATTTTCAAATTCAGTTCAGCTTAAATTTGTACAAAATTTCTAACTAAAATTTCGTTAGAATGGTTCAAAGGTAATGCTGAAGAGCCATCTTCTAGACAATATTGTCTAGAAGATCACACAGTCTTTTATGTTATTTTGTATGATACTGGTACATATATATATTATCATATACTTTAAGTTACATATTGTAAATGACTACATTACCTTTTTATTCTACAAAAAAGCAATTCTTTCCATGATATTTAACCATTAAACGTTTTGAATTTAAACCATCATTGATCATATAGTGTAGTGTAACCACATGTTTCATAATACCAAAGAATTATTTGATACTAATAACATATATAACAAATATAGCATTAAGTATTATATATATATATATATATATATATATATATATATATATATATATATATATATATATATATATATATATATTATATATATATATATATGTATATATATGTATATATATATATATATATATATATATATATATATATATATATATATATATATATATATATATATATAATACTTATATATAACTTATATTTAATATATATATATATATATATATATATAATACTTATATTTACTTATATATATATATATATATATATATATATATATATATATATATATATATATATATATATATATATATATATATATATATACATATATATATATATATATATATATATATATAAAATTATAATGAAACAACGTATCAAATAAAAGTATAAATAACCCAAAATAATGCGCATCATAATTCTGATATCATGTTATTATATTTTGTAAACCACGTTTATAAAATTTTCTTGTGAGTTCGTAAAGACTAAGGTTTAACTATTTTTTAGTAAATGCGTAAAAACTAATTTTTATTATACTATTTTGCATTAAAGCTATGAATCCAAGTTCTGCAGCAACATTTTAGATTCTAAATTCACAATTTTACCTGGTAGTTCAGTTTTTCAAAATGTGATTCAGTTAAGTAAGATTTGTGCCGGTAGACAGGATGCTATTGACAGGTGTAGGTGGGAGTTGGTAGGAAATGGGGACAGGACTATTAGGATATAGACTCAGTTACGAATGATAAGGAGCTGCAATCCAGTCTTTTAACAGATAAGTTGACAAATAGTTGCTCTCTCAAAGTCTGTAAGAAATGTAATCTTTTCCATAATGTTGACTACTTTAATCTTTTTTTGTGAATACAAGTTGTTTTTTAATTAAATGCGGTTATCTGGTTTCAGTACTTTTATCTTTGTAAATCGAAAGAATACGTAACTATGTCAGTTTCTTATAACTAATTACAACACTATTCTCAACATAAAGTTTTACAGTTTATTATCTAGCTATAAAAAATTAAGAATGAATATATATATATATATATATATATATATATATATATATATATATATATATATATATATATATATATATATATATATATATATATATATATGTATATATATATATATGCATATATATATATATATATATATATATATATATATATATATATATATATATATATATATTAATGTTGATTGTGCAATATATAAATAATTGTTCAAACTAGAAGATTGATTCAATATTGTAAGGAAAAAATTTATAGCATTTTTAGACTGTAAATATTTGATCTTAGAGTTTTTATTTATTCTCGGTTTCTTGTTTATATCTTGTTTGAAATATTTACCGACACTTATATAGTGTTAAAACCAAAAGAGCGGCACTTGAAGTTGTAGATGGCAGAAGTATTAAGCAAAGAAATCAAAATGGTGCGATAAAAATAAAATTTATTTTTGTCCAATGTAAATGTTTTATCATATTTATAAACATTTTTCAAATGAGAAAATTCAAAATACAATGTTTTTCTATTATTCTTTTATCATTCGGTAATTATTTATTTAAAAAAAAAAAAGATATCTAGCAAAGCCGTGTGAAATGTTTTACAACTCAGAATAAATACATTTGTAATTATTTTGAATAAGGAAATGAACTTTTCATAACAACAAAGTTTGTCAATTTTTTTGTTATTAGAAAAAAAAAGTAAAAAAAAAATTCTACCATAATGCACCATCTACCTATTTCTAAATTCATACTGCAACATACTTTAAACTATGATTAATAACATAACAGTTAATAATCGGAAATTTGAAAAATGACGAAGAAAAAACTAAAAAAATTATTTGCCTGAAAAAAATTCTTATAGAAGAATGTTCCTAGGTATGGCAGATGTTTTACAAAGGCATTTTGACGCATTTAAGTTTTTACATAATTGGGCCTCCCAGTTTATCTTTACTAGATTTGGAAAAGTCTTAGCTGATGTTTTACACGCTTAATTACGAAAAATGCTAGTACTCAATGATTGAAGCTCCCCTCCTCACCTCCCCCACGATAAAAATATTTTTTTTTAAGTTTTTTGTTTTATACAAAAACTAAATGTGGCTTTTAAACAAATATTTGTTTTTTTTTAATTCTCAATGTTTTTTCATTGTTTTTAAAAAAAACTTTAAAATATATTTAAAAAAAGTCTAAAGAATTGTGTGTTTGAACTCGTAAATATTAGTTGAAAAATTTTATTTTTCTGTTTGAAATAGCAACTTGGGTCTGAGCAGATCATAAGCTTTTTTCAATCTTTTGACTTAATTTATACTTTATTTAAAATGACCATCATATATATATATACATATATATATATATATATATATATATATATATATATATATATATATATATATATATATATATATATATATTTATATATATATATATATATATATATATATATATATATATATATATATATATATATATATATATATATATATATATGTATACATATTTATATACTCTATATATATATATATATATATATATATATATATATATATATATATATATATATATATATATAATATATATATATATATATATATATATATATATATATATATATATATATATGTATATATATATATATATATATATATATATATATATATATATATATATATATATATATCTATATATATATATATATATATATATATATATATATATATATATATATATATATATATATATATATATATATATATATATATATATATATACAGTGGCGGATTGAGACTTCTTGGGGCCCGAGGCTATTTTTTTTTGGGGGGCCCAGAGCCTTAAAATGACTAAAAAAAAAAGGTTCTCTGAAATATTTTGGGGCCCCTAAATTTATGGAGCCCGGAGCTATAGCCCCCTAACCCCCTTGATTCGGCACTATATATGTATATATATATATATATATATATATATATATATATATATATATATATATATATATATATATATATATATATATATATACAAATTTGAGGTAAACAAAAATAATGAATGTATTTGAAAGTAAACTGAAATTAAACTTGAAAATATATTTTCAGCAGAAGATTAAATTGTTCAGTATGAATTAAAGAGTATCATAAAAATGCGAGTGTCGTATAAAAATGCATTTTTTCGGACAAAATTATTTAGTATTGATGACGTACTTATTTGAAAGACATCTTTTTTTTTTTAGAGCGAGTTACTTTATAATATTCTGTGAGAAAGAAACCAATTTTTTCATCTATCTATACAGTTTGAACAACAGATAAACTCTTTTTTGGTTTTTAGAAAACAGAGACACGTGACAGGTGAATTGCTCTTATTCTGAAGTTTAATTGTTTTGCTTATAACACATTCAACAGGTACTAAAAAAACTAATACAATTTATTTATTATTATATATTCATTATTATTATTATTATTATTATTATTATTATTATTAAAACCAAACTAAAGGCAATTATCTTTCATCTGAAGAGGATTTTTTCGTGCGACTCGACAAAGTGCTAAAGTTGATGTTTACATTGATTTTAACATCTCATGTACAGTCCTATCTGTGAGTAAAAAACATTCGATTTTTTTTTCAAACTTTCATTACTTTACTTTTTTGTTCTTAAAATAATAGAGAAATAATAGAAATGACAGGGGATTATAGAAATAATAATAAAGACTTTAATTAACTTATATATATTTATTAATGATATATAGCATAACTTATTTATTATTATTTAATGCAATAATATTTAATATAATAATTTTTATATTTACTTTAATAGAAATTACTATTAAATTACTATTATTTATTAAAAATAAATAATGTTTATAATAATAATGGTAAAAATAATAAAACGACAACTACAATTACAATAATAACAATAACAATTATGATGATAATAAAAAATAAATACTTTAATATGCTTTTGATAATGAATCGGTGTTTTTGTGCTCTGCTTTACTTCGGAGCAACTTTTGCATAAAACGCAAAAGTCAAAAACATATTTTCAAGAAAATATCAATCTTTTATTGTCGAGTTAATTAATGTTAATTAATGTTAATTAATGTTAATTAATGTTGCTCATATTTTCTCCTAGAATTTAGCGCTGAAATGCGTGTTTCATTGTGCAACAGATTTCCCTGGTCATATACAACAAATCCTGCATAAATATAAATCAAGATACTCTGAGTGCAGTTTTAATGATGATGGTACACACTTGTTGAGTAATTGTGCATTCAAGTTGAAATTGTTTTTGTCAAAATCATTGCAGGCATGTTGATTGTTATTTATTAAAAAATATCAACCTCACTTTTGAATTATATCCTTATTAACTAATGTGAAGTACTTCAAACTCCAAACTGCTGATTTATAAGGACCAGTAAAAAATTCTCTGAGTAGAGCAGTTATTACTGTCCTAATTCTAGCTATTTGATTATTTAATGGAATTCTATAAAAAATTATTTGACTAATAAAACAATACTATCATCAGAGTAATTTGTCATTCGATTCCATCAGTCGAATTTATAACTATATAAAATATAAACAGAAAAGTTAAGATCTGTTCATATAAAATAATAGCTAATATCACCATGGTAACAATCTTATCTACTTTATTTTACATGGAACAATAAAAATAATTTAAAAGCAGAAGTCAACAATTTTAAAAGAAAAGTGAGGGAGGCACATGAAATACAACGCCATGAATGTGCACCTTAAGACGGCGGACTGAGTAAGGATGACGGAGGCTACATCACGGCTTTCTTTTGGAAACCTTTGTTTTGATATTTGAATCAAAAAAAACTAATGTATTGATTAGTTTTTATTTTTATATATATATAGCTATATACTAAAAAGAAATCAAAAGATTTGAAATTTTTTGAAATCTAGCCTAATATATATATATATATATATATATATATATATATATATATATATATATATATATATATATATATGTATATATATATATATATATATATATATATATATATATATATATATGTATATATATATATATATATATATATATATATATATATATATATATATATATATATTCATACACATTGCTTTTAATGAAACCACCAGTTTTATACATATTTATATATATATATATATATATATATATATATATATATATATATATATATATATATATATATATATATATATATAAATATGTATATATATATATATATATATATATATGTATATATATATATATATATATATATATATATATATATATATATATATATATATATATATATATATATATATATATATATTCATACACATTGCTTTTAATGAAACCACCAGTTTTATCATATGAGTTTCGTTTACATTTTCATTTCTTTGGAACTGTTTAGCTATTATATTGTTATTCTATAAACCAGAGTAATTTTTTTCTGAGTTGTTTACAGAAGCTTAATATAATCTGTTATCTTCGTTTTCCTTATTCAATGAAGAAAAATACATTTAAAGTACTACAATAAAGATAGTTATTAACACCACAATGAAAATAAACACCTTTTGAAGATGTTTTAATGTTTAATCATCAAGAGATGTAGATGTTTAAACAAATGTTTCTACTAAAAAGACAAGAGCTCTTAAAAACACAAAGTGCACGTTTTTTATTTAAGTGCAACGACGTTTAGAATAAGTTTATAATACTCATATCATATATATATATATAATATATATATATATATATATATATATATATATATATATATATATATATATATATGTATATATATATATATATATATATATATATATATATATATATATATATATATATATATATATATATATATATATATATATATATATATATATATATATATATATATATATATATACATATATATATATATATATATATATATATATATATATATATATATATATATATATATATATGTATATATATATATATATATATATGTATAATTTGATTTTTTACTTTAGCTCAAATCGATATATGATTTATATTTTTTAATTATTAGTTTATATTTTCTAAAAATTATGTCATCCATCTTTCTTTGAAAAACTATTTTTTTGGTATCTAATTTTCGATGGGCAATACTTTTAAATCATGTTTAAACTTTGAAATCATCGAGTCATCCCATCCATAAATGGTAGAATAAAGGCTTTAAAACTTTGAAACCATCGAGTGGTACTAGATGGGAGAATAGAACAGAGACCTTAAAGCCTTTTAGGTTTTATTTTGGAGATATTTACGATGTCTTGTTAAGCCCAAAAACTCAGAAACTGATAGTTTGTGACTAATAAAATAAGCCTCTTGTTTACTAAATTGAGTAAAACAGTTTATGTTTTTGTGTTTCAACAGCAGTTTAATAGTTCTTTAGTATAAAATATTAAACTTAAGTTAATCCAATAAACAAGAAATAGGAACAAAAGATTTTTAATATTTTACGAAAATATAAAAAAAACTTTTTATGGATTCAAGATATCTGAGATAAGTTCTTTAATGAAACTAAAATTAAAAATGACTATTGTTAAAACTGGTGCAAAAGACGAAGTTGAAGAAGCTGATGAAACTGGTGTTGATTCTTCTTTTGAATCAACAATACTACGGCACTGAGTAAGAAGAAAAAACTTCTCACACTAAGCACTAGATAAACCATAAAAATAAAGTATAAAAAAATATTTTTTTATTTTACAATTGATCAAGCACTAAATGCGTTAGATTTGAACAACTTAAAAAAAAACTCTATCAAGTCGCAAAGATTTGCAAACTAATTTAACAAATGGCAATTCTTTTGACATTAATGGAATAATTTAGTAGAGGAACTTCTGCTGTTTTTGTGTTTTTGCAAAAAAAAAAAAAAAAAGAAAAAAAAAAAAAAAATGTTAACAAAGCACACAAATAGTTAATATCATCGTTAAATTTTGCTGCATTAAGAATATTTCTTACCTGTATACCTGTAGAAAGTGGGGAAAAGATTTTCCCTAAAATAAAGTTAATAAAAAACTACTTACAATACTTACAATCCACAACCACGCAAAATTGACATAGCGATTTAGACATTTTTTAATTTTCAAAAACACGCGATTTAACACGAAGGAGCAGTGGTGTATCGAAGGGTGAGGTAGTGGTGACGGGCCGCCCCGGTACTATTTTAAGGACGGCAAATTTGTTTAAAAAAATCTAAAACTTGTTTGTTTTCTTGCATCTTTACCCGAATACCATAACACAGCACTTGACTTTTGTTTTAAAAAGTGTTAACCTATTTATTGAAAATAATTCAAAATATTATCTTCAATTTATATTTTTAACTGCAACGACTTTGTTAATTAAGCATGTCTTTTTTTTTCAAACGGAAATTAAACACAAAAATTAAAGGTTAAGTAAGTATAAAAAGAGAATTGAACATAAAAAAAACTTGAAAAAATGTGAATTTAGAAAAAAGAAAACAAACCGAAAGTTAAATATTGAAGATTGTATAAACTTCAAATTATGTCAACTCATTAAGATGTTATTTCTATATAGTAAATTTTTTTAAATAATATTTTCTGTTTTGCTATTTAGGTGGAAAGAGATGAAAAATTGGTTACCTTACTGGCGTTTAGATTCGTATTAAGGATATAAACGACCGTTATCATTTTTTTTTGGAGAAATTGAGCGGCCTTAGCGCAGTGGTCAAAATGCTTGCTTTAGAAGCAAAAGATCCAGGGTTTAAAGTGAGCTCTGGGCATTTTTCGCGCCATCGGTAAGGATGGAGGCGTAAAGTTCCTAATTAAATCTTCTTCAGCGGTGCTCAGTGATAAGACCATCAAGTCTTCTTCGGGCATCTAAAACAAAAATTAGCACTAAGTTTAGCAGGTGTGCATGGAACATCAGCTGCTGTGAATTCTCTTACGTTTTTTTGAAACTATTGAACAGTAATTCACATTTTTCCCTTCCTCGAATCATTTTGGTTTTGACTTCTATTACTGATCAAAGTGTAAAGCGTTAGCGCAGCATTATATGTTTTTTAAATAAAAATTAAAAAAAAATGTTTAATTTTATCATTATGAAATTTTTTAAAGAGTATTATGCACATAATTCCAGTTTATATAACAAAAATAAACAAAAAATCCTAATAAAAACAATGTATATTTAGAATAATTTAAAAATGTGACAACCGAAGATATAGTCTAAAATTGAAAAGTTTGATTATCTTTTAAAAAACTTCTTATCGTCATTATCAAAAAAATAAAAAACCTTCCCTACTTTCAATTAGATGAGCTTGCTTAATTACGTTTTTTTTTTTGGCAAAATAAACCTTATTACTTTTTCTCTATGGTTATCCATAAAAAATTGGACCAATAAGTTATTACCGATAGATGCTTCATTCAACATGTTTAATGATAAGTATAAAGTGAACTTTGTTAATAATTTTTTTACAACAATGCAATCTATTTTAACTTCTTTAAAAATTTCCAGCTTTTTTAGGTTTCTATAAATACTTTTAGCCATGCTAATAAATGATGACGACCTTGCTCTTTTATATGGGGTTGCAAAAACCTCTTTATTAGTACCAGCTACTTCTATTAAGTGTAAAGATGCAGTTACATTTTTTGATTCTTTTTTCTGACATAAATTGTTTTTAATATTCACCTTCTTTGGACTTACAGGAGAGATTTGAAACAAGATATCCTTTGCACAAGTTCCTTTTCTTGATGATACATTGCATCATTTACCTCTGAGAAATTTTGAGGACTTTCTTTTCAACCGTTATCTTTTTGCATGTCAATTATTATATTTGGATACATTAAGTTCCGCTGTTTGGCTGTCCAGCTGTCAATTGACTGTGGTAATCTTGACTTATGACGGTTTTTATTCAAAGGATATGTGCCACACTTTTTAAAACCAGAAATTATGTTTTTTTAGAGATGTTGCCTTGTTGTCTCAAGACATATTATTCGATTAGCTGAGACAAAAGATGTGACAAAATAACTGAGACAAAAGATGAGGAAAATGAGATTTTTATAAAATTTTCTTTCTATCATGTTTATGTTACTTAGTATCAATCTCTAATAATGCTTTAGGGGAGCAAAAAAAGAACATCTAATGAGTAGCTGGAAGACAGATGAATGTGACATTAAACTCTTCACAGGCATTTAGAATTTTTTCAGAGAAGTGTGATAATATCACCAATTTTGTTTTTTTCTTTGTATTTTATATATATGGAATAAATATTTTTAAAAATCAATCTTCTATGCAAAAAATATAAATTATGCTAATTTATTTTTTTACATTTTTCTTTATCGATTAAGTTTGCAGTGTAGTTTGCGTAATGTAATTCATTATTAGTCGTTTAATATTAAATATTAAAATAACTGTAATACATAATATTATGGCTGTTTATTTTTGTTTTCATTTGTTTTTGTTCTTATTGTTGTGTCACTCCATGGATTCGTTTTTAACTATACGGGACCAAACTAATTTTGTAATTTATAAGTAAATTTGTAATTTTTATTTTTTGTAAAAAAAAGATGGAGGGCGCCAGAATCGGATTAACTTTTATTGTTCAAAAAAAATCTTAAAACTATTAAAAAAGATATTTTAGTTATATCAAAGCTTCTAGCATAAGTGGTCGTCTACAAATTACGTCACGCTTTACGGGGGAGGGAGAGGTGTAGGCGATTTTGTGACGATTTGTTACGAGGGGGAGGGGGTCTTGATTTTGTGATTTAAATCTAAAGAAGACTTTCTTTTAATTAAAAGACTATCCGACCAAACCAAAACCCTCAGTTGATGTATTTACATGTTGATTGTAAAAACAACTACACCTAAATCTTACTTAGCCGATGTGTATACTCCGTTAACAGATTAGTAACAGCCTGTTAACGGACTGTTGCGGCTGTAACAGTCTATGTGCAGTGCACAGAAAATGCACTGCATATAGACTGTTTTATCTCTTCGAATATGTTTTAGTATTGATACAACACTCTCAAAGTATTGCAACGATGTTACAAGGTAGACTAAACCTTTTTTAAATGTAACATCCTTGAAAAATTACATTTTGTCTTTATTCACAGTTGTTTGACTTACTGTAATATTGTGTGTGCAAATACAAATTTAAGAACACAAATTTAATAAAATCTATATACAAATACAATATTTTTCTGGCAATAAAAAATTTAAGAAAATCTACAACAAACTAAACATACGAGCAGAATAGTGTGTGGAGCCTATAGAAATGCTCCTTGCAAACCACTTTTACGTGCGCTCGTTGCTTTAAATGAGCATAAACTCAATTTACACCAAGTTTTATTATTTATGTTTAAAACAAAAATGAAATTTTCCCCCAAAATCTTTAAAACTTATTTTAATAAAATTATTCAACAAAGTTTTGAGATAACAACTTTGTTCTTCTAAAATATAATTTAAAATTAACCTCCTATTTAATTAAATACCGTGGATATACAGTATTGGACAAAATATTTTCAACCAACATCGAACAATGCTAAAAAGTGTTCCTAATTTTACATGTCTTAAAAACGAAACGAACTATACTACCACAGCAAACAATTCAGGAGTCTGGAGTCATAGCATGCCATGACATGAGCAATCAGCTGACAGGTGACATTACACAGGCAGAATTTCGTTGAAAAGTGACATTTTGCAGCGGACAAAACAAGTGCAACTTTTTTGGTTTGTTTCATTTTCTTAAGTCTGGTCTGTGTCAACATCACGGAAGTTTTTTAATAACAAGAGGAAGTATCAAGAAGTTACCAGAAGTTTCTAGAAACATGCAGAAGCATGCAGAAGCTTCCAGAAGTTTCCAGAAGAAGCATCTGGAAGCATCCAGAAGCATCCAGAAATATCCAGAAACATTCAGACGCATCCAGAAGCATCCAGAAATATCCAGAAACATTCAGACGCATCCAGAAGCTTCCAGAAGCATCGAAAAGCATCGAATCTAGAATCTTTCATAACAGGTTTACACAGGTTCATTTTACTATATTAGAGACATGTAAACCAACATGTAATTCAGTCAGTATATGGAAGTCAATCAGTCAGTATTATCAAGACAGCTTATCGAAGTGAGTTTTATCAAAGTATTTTATCGGAGAACATCAATACAATAAGTGAAATACAACAAGTGTTTCATTACATCAATACAGTCCACATCCAACCAAGACTTTGTGTTCCACAGAGCATTATTGTATCATCACAAGGTAAATGTAACACGGTAAGCCTTGAGAAGCGTGATTATTTATTTTTATTATTTTTATGACTTCAAGTGCAAAAATGGCTCCCGACAATCTTGGATTGGAATTAAGAAAAAAAATTATTAGCGATTATGCAAGTGTCACAAAAAAGTATTTGTGATAAATATCGCTTGAAAAAATGAACCGTATCAAGACTATATTCCAAATATCGTTCTACGGGGAAGTTGGCAGCAGATAACAAAGGTGGAAGACTGCGTTTCACCACTTCTAGAGAGGATTCTATGATCGTCAGATCCATCAAGAAGGATCCCTGGATATCATCAGTCGACATACAAAAGCGATTAGAGCTGCCTGTATCGGACCGAACAATCAGACGACGTGCTGTTGAAGCCGGATTGTTTTCTCGACGCTCTGCAAAGAAACCGCTGATTTCACTAAAGAACCAGAAGAAAAGACTCCTGTTTGTTCATCTCATATTGACTGGAATGTGCAGAAATGGCGAACTGTCTTGTTCAGTGATGAATCAAAGTTCAACATCATTGGGAGCGATAGCATTGTACCGTGTACGTCGACCGGCCGGAAAACGCCTCAATTTACGTTACTGCCATAAGACCGTGAAGCATGGTGAAGGCAATGTAATGGTCTGGGGGTGTTTTTCTGCTAACGGTCTAGGTCCAATACATCGAATCGATGGAATAATGGACCGATTCATGTATAAAAATATTCTGAAAGATGTTATGCTACCTTATGCTGAATGGAATATGCCAATAAAATGGATTTTTCAGCAAGACAACGATCCGAAACACACTGCAAAAGTAGTCAAGCAGTGGTTTTAAGACAATCATCTATCGGTGATGGATTGACCGCCTCAATCCCCGGATCTCAACCCTATCGAGAACCTGTGGGAGATTGTCAACCACAGAATTAATTGTGAAGGTGTTCGTAATAAGGATCAACTGTTTGAAGAAATCCAAAAGGCCTGGGCAGCGATTCCACAAAGTTTCATTGATCACCTGATTGAATCTATGCCTCGAAGATGCAAGGCTGTGATCGACAACTAAGGATTCGCCACAAAATATTGATAGCGAAATACAGCTTGGTCAACATTTTGTGGAGTTGCACTTGTTTTGTCCAGAAGGAAATCAACTTTTTTTAATACTTTTGATTATATTATTAATTTTCGTCTACAAATAATGAGCTTTATGATGAATAAAACATGAAGAACGTTGTCTCTAAACAGTTACATAGTTATTTCTCTAAATTGAAAAAATGCAGCACTTTTATATAAAAGAAACTAAATTAGCATTAATTGGTTGCACTCGTTTTGTCCGATACTGTATGTGGAAAAAATCCCCAAATATTGTCAACAAAAGCAAGACTACATTAGAGCAATTTAAGAATGAATCAAAGCGATTACTACAGTTCAGGAATCATAATCCTACTTAAATGTTTCTTTTAAACAATCTAATAAATAATAGATTTATTTTTATCAATGAAATTTAAGTGATGATGTTAAAAATTCATCTAATGATAATGTAAGTTATGAAATTTTATACTATTATTTTTTTATTCAAAAATTTTTGTTTGAGGGTTTTTAAATATTTTAGCGGTTGTAAGCATTTTAAAACTTCTTAATTAATTGCTTTTTTGAATTTCTTTTTTTTCTTAGTTATTTTCTGTTTTACTTCTGATTTATGTTTTTATATATATTTATATAAATAAAAACATAAATCAGAAATAAAACGGTTACGGTTATGTAGAATTTATATATATATATATGTATATATATATATATATATGTATATATATATATACATATATATATATATATATATATATATATATATATATATATATATATATATATATATATATATATATATATATATATATATATATATATATATATATATATATATGGGGCTCGGCGAAAAGACATTATGTGCCTTCTTCTTGCTCCAGCTATTAATTATGATATATGTATATGCAATGTAAACATTCTTTAACGGCGAAATAAATTACACACACACACACACACACACAAACACACACACACACACACACACAAAGAGATCTAACAAAGATTTTATTTTTAACAGCCATCACAAGTGATAGCTAGACGGCACCGATCTAGTACCAAGAATTCTCCCATGAAGTTTAAAATGGCATTGCAAAAATTCCAGTTTTTTTTTCGAAATGCATTGTAAATAGAATATAACTTTAAAATAACATTTCATGAGACCAATTGATTTGTTACACAGCATCATAAATCCAACTTTATTATGATAATGAAATATATCTTGTAAAATTTTTCTTACGCATTACATTTGCGATATAATGATATAATGGATATAATATCAGCACATCCATGGTTTGATATTATGATATAATCCATGTCTAAACCATTTTCTACCTTAGAAGATATTAGTTTTTTTGAGTCTGAAAATGGACAATTCATTATTGCAAATTGAATTACATAACACAGTGCTATATATGCAGCAGTATAGTAGTTTCATGTTAACTTGATTTTTCGAACTAGACATAAAACTCAAAAGAAGCACAATTATATGCTGATTTTAAAAATAATATTGATTTTTATTCCAAATTAAAGTTTTAAAAAATATATTGATTTTCTTCGCTACGACAAAATGTGCAATAATGCGACATTTTTAAGTATTTGTTTTTTTTTTTATAATTTTTTTCGTGTAATTAAGTTAATATTTTCAAATCTAGTCTTTTGTTCCATTTCTTTTGAGTCCCGAGCTGACAAAAAAATTTTTTAGGTAAGTTAGGACCTGCCAAAATGTTGGATCTTAGAGGAACTTTAAGAACTCATTTATATTTATAAAAAAAAAAAAGAAAAATAAACAAAACCAGTTATTGAAACGTTCAATAGGTGAAAATATCTTTACTTTTTATATTAAACCAGTAATCTGATAAATGTAACAAAAATTGAGCATAGAGTATGCATGTTTAAATACTCAACAATTTGTTTGCCTATTTTTTCAATTTGGAATAATCAAGAAAGATTTACTTTGCATCAATAATATTTCGTGTAAAAATAAGAAATAGAAATGAATTCAAAATTCTCAATCAGTGGCTAAAAGGTATGAACGCAATAATGCAACAGAAAGGGTTAGGGTTTGCAATACGATTATTTGCCCTTAAACCATGATTTAATGTATGTAAACTCCACGCGTGTTCTCCTAGTTTTAGTCAGTCAATTTATTTACAAAAAATAAAAAGCTCATATGGTATGCATAAGTTGTGTATATGTTATACGTTTACGCTAGAGTTATGCCTAAAATATTTTTTGCAAAATTTTTATATCCTGCACCAAGACATCCAATGATATGGTGGGTATTTTATTTTACCAAAAAAAATTTTCTCCGAAATTAAAATTTTTCTCCGAAATGTTGGACTTCAAAAGGAGTGAAATTTAATAGAGATTTCATAAATAACAATCTTTTACAAATGTGACCTTCTTAAAGAAAGTATTGTTAACCAAAACATCTTATAAAAGTGTTTTTTTTTCAATTTTTGTTTAAGAATGTTAGTTTTTTTACAATGAATTTTAAAAAACTGACTGATGTTATTTAAAAATTTTATTTTTTTTAAACTTTTTATAAAAATTTTCTTCTTTTGAGAATTAACTTGATATACTTTTGGGGAGAAATATCTTGGTTAATATATGCCATCCACTATGTTGGCGGGTGTTTTGGTGAGGAACCTTTTTTTTTTTGATTTAAATAGTTGTGAATTATAAAAACTTGATTCCGTTTTTTTTAATTTTATTTTTTTGCAAACTTTTTCATGAAAATGAAATTTTAATCACTTTTATGCTGCAAAAACAAAAAAAACTAGACCAGACGTCGTTATTAAAAAAATATAAAACTTGTTGTCGAATATTAGTATTTTTGGTGTACCTTGCTAACACATCAACATCAAGTTAGAGAACTTTTCTTTTCTTATCAATTCTATGTTTTTATGTGATGCTTTATCAGTATAATATTCTCTATCATTTATAAAAATAATCATTTATAATAAGTAGGCATACGAATTCAGTAGTACCGAATTTGTATGCTTTATAAGGCTTCTTTTTGATATGCCTATCTTGAAACAACTTGATCATAGATAATATACCTTTAACTAGTTAATTAGACAACACTCACCAGGCTTGGATTCACGGTCGTTTCGATATTAGGAAAATGCGCTATGTTTAGTTACGCATGCGTCAATTCATTTTAAAAGTTTAGAACTTTTAAAATGGCTACGGTCCTTGACTACATCGAAAATTTTATATGACAATCTTTTTTTTGTTGGTTTGTTAATGAAAAATTTCTATTTTTATTTTATAATTAAAGTAAATCAGTAAATTAATAACTTAGTTTCAAAATTAAAAAAGTTAAACAAGCTAAAAATGACCTTGGCGTGATAAACCTTCAGTTTTCTTGAATGCTATTTTAATATGAGTCATTAATTTGTTTATTTTTTCAAAATCAATTTACTCAACTTAAAACCGTAGGAATTTGAATTTTTTTTTTCAAATTTAACAACGATGTTTCTTTTATATATGGTGATATTTTGGTCGCTTTTGGTCGCTGCTTCAACTTTTTTTCTATAAAAAAATATACTTCTGCTCATATGCATAGGAAGGAATTAGGCACATTTAATTATATCAGGGAAAAGGTCATATATCACTTTACACTGATATAATAGTGTGTTTTTTTTTCTTTTTATAATCGTATTATATAATTAAAAAGAAAAATAAACATTAATATTAAAGATATAGTTGTAAAAAAAGAAATATATTTTATATTCGAAAAAAAGTTTAAGCAACAACCAAAATCACCATAAATAGAGAAAATAAAAAAGATACAGTATTATATATATAAGATATGTCCATAAAAAGGTACTTACACATATGTGTAAGTATGTACTGTTGCCAGACACAGTTTTAATATTAAGGTTGTATGCTTTTGGATGGAGTTACATTACATTCCGATTTAACTGTAGCAGAGCGATACAAAGCTAAGTTATTACGCGAGGAGTGCAAACAAAAAAATTTAGAAAATTCAGAACCCTCACTTTTTTATTATGGCATACGAAATGAAAAAGTCATAAAAATTAGCAAATAGCAATCATTTTATAATTGCAAAAACCAAAAATATTTCAGTCACGGCTCATTAACTTCTTTAGTTATTCCAAAGTCATTACAAAAAAATCATGCCTCAAGCATTAGTAAACAACGTATTACTGCTGTAAACAACAAAAGCATTAAAAAGGTTATCTGTTCAAAACGTAGCAACTTTATAAACTCATACAATCACTTAACCACAAATTCGTTCAACAATTTTACAGTTTATCTTTTTAACGCAAGAAGTCTTGCCAACAAACTTAACGATTTTTTTTTATACGTTGAGTCAAACAAACCTGTCTTAATTTGTGTTTGCGAAACGTTTTTCAATGATAAACTCCTGAATTCCATGGTCTGTCCAAAAAATTATTCCATTTATCGTAAAGACCGGGTACGAATTGGCGGTGGTGTAGCTATATACTGCAGAAATTACTCAAACTGACAATGATATTGACATCATTTGTGTTGATTTAATTTTTGGGTCTAGTAAACTCCGCTTAATTACTTGTTACCGTCCACCGTCCTATTCTCTTGATGATTATATCTATCTTGAATCAATGATCTCGATAATTAGCAATCTCTGTGAATCTGTTCCTCAATTTGTCATTGTCGGAGATTTCAACTTACCGAAAATTGATTGGGTTAACTATGTTTCGCCAATTGAGAAATGTCATAATCTTTTTTTAACTTTGGTAAATAATCTTGGTATGTACCAATATGTACTGGAGCCCACTCGAGAAAATAATATTCTTGATCTTGTTCTCTCAAATATCATTTCCCTATTAAGTAATATTTCCGTTGAGTGTCCATTTAGTACAAGCGACCATAACTCAGTCTTTTTTTATATAAACACCTTTAATTATTATCAGCCCGAAACAAACTCTGAATCTTTTTACGACTTCAAAAATACAGATATAATTGCTTTTAATTCTTATTTATCAAAAATAAGTTGGGACTTCGATTTTTCTTTTGTTTTTACAACTGAAGAGTATTGGAACATCTTTTCTAATCATCTTCATAAAGGTATTGATCGTTTTGTTCCAATCGGAACAATATACCATAACAAAAAAAGTCGTTCTTATCCAAAATATATTTATAAAATGCTAATTCGCAAATCTTTTCTATGGAAAAGATGGTCAATCACAAAGACCACCTTGCACAAAAAGGCATTTATCCAATATGCATCAAAATGTAAAAAAGCCATATCCACACACCACAAAAATGTGGAACTAAAACTGGTCAAAGAAAATAACTTAAGTAAGTTTTTTAGTTATGTAAATAAAAATCTAAACAACCCCAAAAAAATATAACCTCTAAAAACAAATAGCAACTTTACTACTACCAATGTTGAGATCGCGGAAGTGTTTAACAAACACTTTGGAAGTGTTTTTACCATGAGAATTTCTAACCTAAATAATGTTTCATATTCAAGTAGACTTAGTATTCTTGGTTTGGAACTACTAGAAATTCGTCGCCTTAAGCAAGACATGATTACATGTTACAAAATTCTGAACAACTTAGTTTGCCTAAATAAATCAAGTTTCTTTTTATTTAACAACTATATTTACACTCGAGGACATAATTTTAAATTACGCAAACTAAAATGTAAACTCGATGTCCGTAAACACTCTTTCTCACTCAGGGTTGTTAATATTTGGAATAACTTGCCGTCTGACGTCGTGAATGCTAAAAATATAAAGAGCTTCAAAATTAAAATTAACTCTATCGACTTTGAAAAATACTGTTCCGGCTAACTGGTTTTAGTTTTATAACTATGGTCTTATATATAATTGTAATATATATTTTAAATTAACTAGCATTTGTATTATGTGATTGTAGGGCACGTTGTCAGAGTCCTTCATATTTTATGGACCTGCGTGTCCTTTAGAACATGTATCACTGTTCTAATAAATTTTAATCTAATCTAATCTAATCTAATAGCACAATTTATACCATTTTTTTGATAAACAATTTCCACTTATAAATGCTTATTTACTAATAATAAATTATTTTATTTAGATAGCTCTATTGTGATTTTCATTGCATATACTTGTGGTTAAGTGTCAATAGATTAAAAAAAAATCGACTTTTATTCTTGATTGATATTTGATTCTTTGACACTTAAATTAAAAAACTTGGTACAAAGACCCTGAAAAATAGAGAAATCAACTATGT